GGGTTTAGGTTAAAGGCGTTCTGGTAACGGAGCATCTCTGCTCTGACCGTCACCGGCACTGTATATCAAAATCACAACATTAAAGCCAGACAAGACTGAACGACAGACTCAGACTATAACGCAACATGCAAATCTGAACAATTTACCTAAAAAAGGCATATTTTTGTTAAACAAATTGTGTGCGAGCGCGTACGGAATTGATATAAGTTTTATAAAAATAGTGCAAAACCTCTCGGGATGAACCAAAAATTAACAATTAGTTGTGAGTTCTGCAGTAAAAATTGATGTGTAACGTCAGCATAATTAAATAACGGGAAAGCGAAAGGCCCGCATAATTAAGGCGCAAAAATTTGGCCGCCAAACAAAGGAGACGAAAAAATATATATACGAGTATGTAAGCGTAGACAGGCACGCATACATACACACACACGCATACACACGTACATGTAAACACATACACAAGCAGCAAACGACGCTGACGTTGGTGACGTCGGTACCAGTGTCGAGTGTTTGTGGCGGGCGGCTGTGTTTCTTGTCTGTGCCCGCTTTCGCGTACCTGCCTTGCTACCTGTCGACCCGACCAGACCCGGCGTGGCCTGGCCCCACTTGTCCTTTCCTGACGACACTCAGTATAAATATTTATGTTGACGAATTTACCTGCGGCTCAGCGTCGCTAATGAAGCGAAAAAAATGAAAATGAAAGGACATAATTATGCTTATGTGTGAGTATAATGAATATGAATTTTATTTAATGTTTTCCAAGGTCAGCCAAAGCTTGCCAAACGGCCCATCAACGTATATATTATAAAGAGAAAACTTGGCACTCAGCATCACCCATGCTCAAGTCAAAATTTTGCAGTTTTGTTTGGACTTACTCTGGTCCGATATTTATACAGCTGCCAGCCAGAAGCAGCGAGCTAGCGATAGCTTTGTCACCAGCCCAACATAATCCAGTTGAACTCGTGCAAAGTACCCAAAGTACAAAACTATTAGCATTACCTGCGAAATTTCACATTTCCTCGCATATATACACCCAATTACATATTTCGAGTAATATCACGAAATCGCTGCTTCCCCTTTCTTCGGGGCGCGTGAGCGTCTGCGTGGGTCGTTCCCTGCCATAATGGCGCGAAAATCAACAATAAGTAACGAAAAAGAACAAAAATTGCCTGACAGACGCCGGCAGATGGATGGCAGGTCTATGCAATCACAAATCACTGGGGAACATAAGCAAATATTTTATGTTTGTTTTTCGTTAGCAGCCGTGGTAAGAACACCAACAATGGGGCCAGCAATAACTCGTTAAGTGCATTGGGTCCTGAAGCTGCACATTTCGATTTATTCTATTGCTGTTTCTACCATTTCTTCTAACTGTTGTTGTTATTGTCGTTTTTATTCTTACCATGAGTATTCTTGGAAGGCCATTGTGCACTGAGCTAATGGAAAATTGCAATGGCTGCCGTTTATTGGCTACCAACTTTTATAGTTGAAAACAGTAATGCATATGGCTTTTGTGTTCGATCCATTAGCAGCTAAATACATTTTTTAATAGAAAACAAACTTAGACATTGGAATATTAAAGAGTATCGCTTAAAAAATTTTTGTAAACAAAATGCCAAAAATGAGTAAGGTAAATTATTTTAGTTATTTAGCCTGTACCCATAGGGTGAAAGGCTATACTAGTTATATCGTCATAAATGAACGAAACATACTATTAGTTACAAACGAAAGTAACGCTACATATGTATATCTGTAATTCACTAGAATTACAATGGCTCTGAATTTCCTTTCAAATTTAATCAAAACTAATTGTTATAATTGAGACCTTTGCCGAACTGTTTTATGTACGTGGCATACTCAGTAGAGTATTAATAGACATATTTTACTGGTATACTCAAGAGTATTACCAAATTACTTCATTCTTAACATCACGTTGAAACTATCTGATTATTTCCAAAGTCTAAGACTGGTCAGCCAGATAAATTAGGTGCAAATATATCGTTTTATAAAGTTATTTCTAAAGGCCTGTGAAATTTTATTGTAATTATTATTTTCCTTGGAACTAAATAAGATTCTTTACTTTTGCGCTTTTAAGTACCGGCTACTCGAGATGAAATAAGATTTACGTAAAACTACAGACAACAAATAAAGAGCTGTTTTTAAATCTGAAAAGGGAAATTATTTTCGTATATATAAGTATTTAGCAAGAGGCCTGTTCTTAGATAACCTTCTTGGGATTGGCGCATCTACGGTATTCTTCTCCATAGCCTTCGAAACCATTACTCAGCACTTCCATTAGTATTGAATACATATGTACTTGCATGTATTCCATATACTCATACGTAAATACATTGTTAGTTTGATTAAGACGTTTGCTAAATAAAAACCCACTGCTAATTGGCAGATTGCCTCAAGTTCCGGGCAAACATTTGAGTACCACTGAAAAGCAAACATCAAGGCGTTGAGATGCTTAGTAAGGGGCCGTATACGCAATTGAAATGTCTACTTTGCATACGTTTACGACAACACCAGCAAGAATTTCATGTGTACATATGGCTAGAATAGCGCAATATAAAACTGAAAGGCGTACTGAAAATAATGCTGACAAAAGCTGAAAGACAACACAGGGAACAATTGCTACAACAAATGTAGCCCTCTTTTTGTGAAACGGAACTTTTTCTACATTTATTGAAGTATGAAATTATTCAAGTATGGATATTTCTGAGTCTAAATGTCTGCACATGAGTTAAGAAAGTATAATATCCACCATCTCCACCTTTTTCCTCAACAGACCATGCGCGGAAAAGAATTTGTGGCAAACGTCAACATGTTTCAATTTCTGTAAATTTGTTTTCTGTTCGGGGTTTTATTCACAATTTTTTTGCCTTAAATATACAGAACCCTGGGCATGGCATAAAAACTTTGGGGCAGTTCCACGCTCGTCAAGGCCAAGGCAACGAACAAAAACAAAATGCATTCCAGTAAACTATTCAAAAAGCGCACCCCCTCTTCATAATTAACACGAGTGGTAAGCATGTGAGCAAAAGGAATATAGCATGCAGCATGTGGCAGACGTTTAATTCATTTATTAATAGCGCCCAGCTGCAGCAACGTTGTGGCAGGCAGTGCCAAGCCAATGGGGTAGGGGCGAAGAGACTTAGCTTGACTATGAAAATATATCTCACACATGAGCTGCTTAGGCGGCGCCATTCCAAGAGTGTAACTGGGCTTGCTTATACATACATCTACATACATATGTACGGGTATAGTAACGGCATCAACACCTCAGCTTTTCTATGCTAACTAACAGAAAAAACGCAACAAAAGCCATAACTACTAGAAAAAGGACAAAACAACTAATACAACAAGAGCTTTGTGTGCTAGAAATGCGCGCATTTAGTCGAACAGACAGACATGCGGAGGAAGCTGTTCCAGATCTGTCCGCATTCTCCACTGCCCCTCCTCCTCCTCTTCCCAGCGGGCACTGTTTACCCGTGCTCGGTCGTGTACACATAACCTGAAATGCAGGTGTAGGTTTACTGTTTGTTTGAGCGCTGGGCTCACTCTCACTGTCTCCCAAACCATCTGTACGTGTATATCCATCTGTCTGCTGGCTGCTGGGTGGCTGCCTAGCTATACACCTTGGCACAGACAAAGGTCACATAGTGTGTTGCATTCTGTGCACCACAAAAGGGCAAGTGGCAGCACTTGGCTGCATTTAGTAGACCCACAAGCACAGACACCTCGCTAAATGATTATATGCACGGCTTAAAATGGAGCAAAAATAACTTTTATTTTTTATTGTGTTTGCTTAAAAGCATTTGATGCGGAAAATGTACTATTTTAAGCACGAAATGGTGGCGTTCGCAAATTCGGCCTGAACTCTCGTGGACCTTCGTAGGGTAGACGATAGGAACGATCCAAACGTTGTGGCCGTTCCAAACCTGCATATATCGTCACTATCTGCATCAGTCCCAGCATTAACAGTAACAAGAAATGGTGCGGCAACATTTTGAAATCCAACCGAATAGCTCAGGGCTTCTCAATTTACTGAAAGCGCAGTTGCGCCAGTGCATTTGTGATTGTATATTTAAATCGAGATAAGCCGTACGCTTTGCTGGGCAGAGTTCAGTGTCCGAACAGTGTTTTTAAATTTAAACACTACGCTGCATAACTAATTTATTTAAAAATCCATTTTATAAAACAATGTATGCTATTCGAAAAATTGACAATCATGTCTTATTTCCAGCTTAATCAGAATCGGAAATTATCGAAAAATTTTGGGAAACTGCATTATATAAAAAACCGAATATTTAATAAATATCCACAAACTCTATAATTCATAGTGTACAAATTTTCGACGCACAATAATATTATAAATATTATTATAAATATTATCATCGCTGGTTTGCTTTTTGCCCTTTTTTTATGAATGGGTTTTTTTCAGATTTCGAGCTTACAGCTGTAATCAGATGAGATGGATGAAGCATTTGAAACATTTTTCATTTGAGCTTTTGTGGCTAACATTTTGTATTGAATTTTGTTAATTTTGACTCCTGGGGATCAAATTTACAACTTTTTGTGAGTTTGTGTGCAGCTTTAAGTCCAAATACCGCAAAAAGCAAAGAATAAATCAATTTTTTAAATATTTTTTTGTTCATGGTTTTCATGGTCTTTCATTCATCTCGTTTACAGTTTACGTGTTAAGTGCTTGGCAAGCACGATTAAAGCGCTTTATCACCCGCTACAACAGCAACAACTACCACGGCAATCACTACGAGAGCAGCTGCAGCAACAACAACAACAACAACGGCAACTAAAACAAAATCAACCGAAACAGCTGCGACGACAAAAACAACAGCAGCAGCAGCAGCAGCAACAACAACAAAAGCGCTTACGGCGACGCTTGTCGCAGCAGCAGCATCAGCAGCAACAGCAACAAACAGAACAAAACAAACTTCTTATAAACAACACGCACACATCCACATAAACAAATACTCTAGCAAACATACAAACACATACTTGTATACTCGTACTTACATAAGTGGAACCACCGCAGCCATGTTGGGCACAATGACAAGCACGTTGACAACAGCCACATCGCTATACTCCGAGTACGACGATGGTGCTGGCACAAGCATTTTGGAAATAGAGCTGCCGGCCATCTTTCTCAATGAGAGTCTGTTCATTGAGCTCAACGAGAACCAGACAATGTCCAGCGCTTCTGATGCTATGGACAGAAATGGCACCACCAACAACAATATCACCTTGAAAATGGAAATGGAGCGCCGAGCCGCTGATGAGCGCGCCTCAGTGGAATTTTGGCTGCTTGTCAAGATGATCGTCATGGCCATTGTCCTGGGCCTGATGATTCTTGTCACCATCATAGGCAAGTCTCTTCCGTCCTTAGTCTCCTTACACTCAATCAATTTTTGAAATTGTAATGTGCTGCCGCCTTTAAAGTTACAGCAGCCATTAACAGTAATTCGACTTAAACCGACTGAGAAGGCTGATTGGCATTTGTGGGGAAGGGGGGCGGACAGATTTTGGCGTTAAATTATTCTGAAATTAATGCCTCTGGGAATTGTTGGGAGGCGCTGCGAAAGTTTCGATTTCGCATGCGTCTCGAACCTTGCTTCGACGCCGCTTGGCCACTGAAGTGAACTGTAAATGAAGTGAAATTTATGATGCAGAAGATTTTTATTGCACGCCTTGAAGATTTTTATTGATTTTCAGCTCACACTGGTCGACTGCTCTTGCCACACTTTGCCACATTCAAAGATGATTTGTAGCCAGCCGTCGGCTGGTGGCTGCCTGTAATTTTTCGTGTCTATAACGGGGGCGCAACTTTTGCCTTGGGTGCGCCAAAAACGCTTTGCCTTTGCTTCAAGCGTACAACAAAAAGCTTTGTGTTAAACACAACACTTAGCCAACGCCGGCAGGCAACAAAGCGACAAATGCTCTACTCGTTGCCATGCAAAGGGGAGGGACGGAATGGCGGCGTGCTAACTGGAGGTGGCAGGATGTATGTGTTGGCGGCATTGGTAGTGGCAACAAAAAAGTTTCAAAATGTTTGTCGTTGTTTTTGTCGGCGTTAGCATACGCCAAAGCATAAAAAGCTATTAAATGTGCGCCTAAGCAACAAATTGATATTGTACTTGCTTCCCCTCAAGCACTAATACACACACTCGCAAGCACTTAGACAGTAACTCACTCCATACACAAAAATATAGGTATGCCTGAGTATGCAGGCAGGTGTGAAATAAGTCGTCCAACGTGGCGTATGCGCAACGTCAATGGCAATTTGGCACTGCCAGAGCATATGCAAATGCATTTCTGACACAAGTCGGCTGCTGTCGAGAAGCAGCCAGAACGTTTTGACAACATTCAGACGAGCTCAACCCAGCAGCGATAACAACAGCAATCACTGAGAAAGAGTGTGCACGCCATGCTTACAATAGTACCCGGGCGAGGGGGGCACACGTCCACAGGTCCATGAGTAACTATGGCAATTACAATTTGCCAAGTTGCTGGCGCTTAATCAAAGCGTGCCTTGGTGTCTCGGTGCTTTGGTCTGTCTTCCCACGACAAGTTCTCTCATTTGCATGATAAAGAGACAGCGATGATGGCACGCAAGTTTGGGAAACATCTGCCCAAAATATTGGGTGCATGGGTATGTGTACCTCTATGTATGTAGATGCAACTTTGCCAAGCACGATTGCCTGCAATTAGGCTGGAAAATCGATGTCTTTGTGGCTGTGGCCTTAAACGAATGATTGATTGACTCCTAAATTAAATTGTTGCCAGTATTGTCGCGTCTCTATCTTCGCAAGTTCGTTAAATAAATGAACTCCGTTTGACATTTCTGCTATCCTCTCCACACTAAATGCATGTTAAAATTAGAATTTTTTTTGAAATCACCATTTTAAATAATGTTTCAGAAATTTAACTGTTTTGGATTGGGACGCAGAGCATTTCTATTGAGTTAATTGGCATCTCAAATGTGAATTGGAATGCACTAAAATAAAATAATAATCAGCCTTGTAGGTAGAAGTAAATTAAAAAATAAGAATTATGAATATTCTTAACATTAGCATAACAACATAACATTTTTATATATTTAATTCTTTGTGTGTTAGAGAAGTGGACTTGGGGATTTAAAAATCTCCTAATATCTTAACCTTACATAAACTTGCCAGCAATCTGGGGATCTTAATCATATCGCAACAAAAACTAATTTTTATCTAATACTTATAAAAAACCAACACAAAATACAAAAAATAACAAAATGTAATTCATTTAATAATTAATCCTTAATTACAGAATTTAAATACTGGCTACATTTCAAAAGCTACATAAGCCAAACTTACGTAATTTTCTCTCTTACTCGTATTTTAATTGTGATATATTGAGTACGGGCTATTTTTAAAAAGCTTTCTTATTTTATTTTAAATACATAAATCTAAAATACTATATTATAACCGAACTTACATCTAATTACATTTTAAAAAAAAAATCACTCTTAGGCTCTCTAACAGCAAAACTCATACCAAAAATTGGATAATTGAATAATTCATCAATTTATTTGTGAAATCTAATGAGGAGTTTATTATGTTATTAAGTCCCAAATTAATAAAAAATCAAAATACACAAGTTAAAATGTACTATACTTTAAACGTGAAATATGAAAGCCCACAAAGAATTTTATATTATTTTATGAAACCCTTACACTGTTCGATTCATTCTGGTTGTTGCATACATTCGCACTCATCCAGTACACCCCAAAACCTTTTGGGTACAGAGAACAAGAAGAGTACTCAACGATTACAGTTGTTCTATTTGTATTTTATGGATTTTTAAATATTAATTAACATCTTAAATTGAAACTTTTCTCCAAACTTCTTTGCATATTGACTAATACTGTGAAATGCTGAAAACGCAACAACTACAACAATTTTGACGACAACAAAAATGATGACTATAAAAACTGGCGACAATGCAACAACAATAGGAAACGTTTTCGTAATTGCCGCCATTATACTTGAGCGCAACTTGCAAAATGTTGCTAATTATTTGGTCGCATCGCTGGCAGTTGCTGATTTATTTGTTGCCTGTCTCGTCATGCCGCTTGGCGCCGTCTACGAGGTAAGTATACGTTGCCACGTTACTTTCCATTGCTGTACTATAGTGTTGGTGTTAGGGTCGGTGTTTTTGTTCTTTTGTTGTCGCCATCGTTGGTGGTGCACAAACTTCATTACCCTAATGGAAACTAAGAATGACAACCTCGGAAATGAAATTACACGGAAAGAGTTGACAACCGTCTGCTGCAGTTTCTCGGAATAGTTGTCTGTGTGGAGGTGTGAGTGCTTCCATAATGTACCGTAGAGTACGAGTATTGTTAATTGCTTAAGTTGCGTCATCTTGCAGCAATGATATAATTTAATTTCAATGCCCCTAAATGTCCATTGTTTGGGCAGATTCGTATAATAAGTGTACATCTTATTCTTGTACTACTTTTCGCCCAATAAATGAACAACGTAGATAAGCAATGGGTGGATATTGGGACCAGAGCTCTGTGACATCTGGACATCATGCGATGTGCTCTGCTGCACAGCATCAATATTGCATCTGGTGGCCATTGCGGCTGACAGGTGAGTAATAGAAAAGATGAGCTTGGTCGTTGCTGCTTGCGTTGCGCATACGCCCCGTTGCACTTCAACAATCAGAAAGAAGCAATTTGTATGCCAGCAGGCACACAGACAAGCAGGCATGCAGACATGCAGACATGCAGCTACAGCAGTTATCAATTACGTCTTTTGTCATATTGCACTCTTTATAGATATTGGACCGTTACGAACATTGATTACAACAACTTGCGCACACCCCGCCGGGTGTTCTCGATGATATTTTGCGTTTGGTTTTCCGCTTTGATTGTCTCACTAGCACCGCAATTTGGTTGGAAGGATCCAGATTACTTGAAGCGTATCGAGGAGCAGCATTGCATGGTCTCACAGGACGTGGCATATCAGGTAAATATTGTCCAGTCGACTTTGACAGTGTTTCTGCTCACCAGCGCGCACACATTTCTCATTTGCGACTGCCGCCTATCTCGTCCCACTCCACAGATTTTTGCCACTTGTTGCACCTTCTACGTGCCGCTGCTGGTCATACTCTTTCTGTATTGGAAAATCTATATTATAGCCAGGAAGCGCATACAACGACGCACACAGAAGTCCTTCAACGTGACCCTGACGGAAACTGAAGTAAGTAAAATGGAAATCAATATGCGCTCGTTGATATTTCGCTTGTTTATATTTCGCCTGCATTTTCCGAGATGAGCTCGAAATTTGACTGGGCTAGCAAGTTGATTTTTTCTCACAATTTCTGCTATAAATGAAGATGAATGTGGGGCCATATTTCGATTAGAGCGCGGCAACATGTGATGCAATAAATCTAAGCCCCACTCATGCTCCTAATTAAACATGTTGCTGTTCCTGCCCACATGGAGGCAGTCTAGCGCATAATGCGCGAGACTGTGTAGAGTAGAGGAGGACACAGAGGGGACACGCATAATCAAAGTGATACATTTTAAGTGTCTACTTAACAGGCAAAGAGCCAATAAATTAACGAGCACAGCCGTCGCAACCAAAAACCGCACAAAAAAGCTCGCAGAAATAAAGTGAAATAATGAAATGTGGACTGTTCACATATGCGAGCCCAGAACCCTAATCTAAAACGCGAGTATGTGTCAGCCTATGTGACGGGTGTGTTTGTATTTGTTAGCCATAATGAGTGTCATTAACAGAAACAATAACGCGAATCCTTTGGTGCTCATTAGCATGCCCAAGTGCGCACTTGAAATAAACGAGCAAGCTGCGCAAACAAAACCTCGGGAAACTGTCGATGCCGACAGACTGGCTTGTTTTTGGGACCCGTGGGTGTTGCCGCGCCTGGGTGTGGCCCGATATATGTATAGTCTCCAAAAAATTGCCAGCGATTTTGCTTTCGGCTGGTCAAATCTCAATTGCGTTCAGAGCGCCTTTCCAAGCTTGCTAAGCTACTTACCGTGCTGTTGTTTCGGGTACCGACCACGCTTCCATTAACGAGTATTAATGTAGCCCCCCAACCATACCTCCTTCTTCATTGCAGTGCGACTCGTCGGCTCGGGAACTGCAGAAGGAACAGCGCAAGCGGCGTGTGGTAGAGCGAAGTGAGGAGGATGCCGCTGCAGGCGGGCAGGTGCACCGACGCACACGTAAGCGCATCAGGATTTGCTTTGGTCGTGAGTGCTCCAACTCGACTACGGTCACCAGCATCAGTGCCGGCTCGGAGGGCGCGGTGGCACGCTCTATGGCTGCCATTGCAGTCGACTTTGCCAGTTTGGCAATTACGCGCGAGGAGACCGAATTCAGCACAAGCAACTACGACAACAAGAGCCATGCGGGGACCGAACTAACGACCATCTCCAGTGACGCTGATGACGTAAGTAGTACTTATTCGGATTAATTATTAATTACAGAAAATTAAATACTCTACAATCAAGAGCAGAACGCTCATTATGTTGTAGTACCTTTAGTAGTTATTTTTTTAGTTTTTAATAAATTTCAAGAAAAATTGATTTATGGTGAAAAAACAGATAGTAAGAAAACCATTAAAAAGTGCTCGTATACTTATGAAATTATAAGTATTACAATTTATAATGTATATGTGAACATTTGTTATATTAACCCGAAAGATTTATTTTCATAAAGCAAGCTTCTTTACCCTAAGAATTCACACACAAATAATTGACACACGAATTAGTTGGATAGAGTCTTCCTTCCATTTAAAAACCAAATTGCACGTCCATTGTCATTATGGGATTTAAGAGTGAAAGCTAACGGTCCTTTACCCCTTTAAAAAATAATCAATATTTAATAATTAATAATTTAATTTAATAATTATATTATCTATATGGTGATTTATTGACTTACACTGTTTTGTCGCAATACAAATAATTTAGAATACCAGTATAAGTCAAGCTCTCGGAATCGGTTTCACTTGCTTTACTCAATTGGTTAAATGTACCTGCTGCATGTGGATATGAATATGTCTTTTGCCCATTCTTGCAGGGACGGACCAGCAATGCCAATGAAATTATGACGCTCTCCCATCAGGTTTCCAGTGGAACACAACAGCATCTGATCGCTTCGCATTTGAATGCAATAACGCCATTGGCACAATCTATTGCTATGAGTGGCGGTGTCGATGGAGGTGGCAGTAGTCCAGGTGCGGGCGGTGGTGGCAAGGGTGTACTAGCAAGCATTGCTAATCCTCATCAGAAATTGGCGAAGCGACGGCAGTTGCTGGAGGCGAAACGAGAGCGTAAAGCGGCTCAGACACTGGCCATAATCACGGGCGCATTTGTGGTCTGCTGGTTACCCTTCTTCGTGATGGCACTAACCATGAGTCTCTGCAAGAGCTGCTATATACACCCAGCTGTGGCATCGCTCTTCCTTTGGCTGGGCTACTTTAACTCAACGTTGAATCCAATTATATACACCATCTTTAATCCCGAGTTCAGGCGTGCCTTCCAACGCATTCTTTATGGACGCAAGCATATGGCACGAGCTCGCAGCGCGAAAATTTGATTTCAACTGAAGGTAAACGAGGACCAGTATTTGTAGAACTTATTAGATAGGGATGAGAAGGGAGAGACAAACGAAAACAAACCCTATGTGGCATATAAGTAGCTTTATTGACATAGCTTAGAGTTAACTTGGCAGTGAGGCGCGTTAATTAGTTTTCATTAGCAGTGACAATCCAATACCCTTATCTACATTAGCAAAGATTCCTTCACACACACCCACGCATGTGCCCTAAGAAAATAATCGCATTGGCAGAAGCCAAATTGTAAATTTTTCTATGTAAATATAAAGTGATTTAAAGGTTAGCTTGAGGGCACTAATCATAAGCATAAATACAAAAATTGATTTTAATTTACGTTAGTCGCTAGTTGTAATTTAGGAAACAAAAGTAGAACATTTCGAAAGTCTTCCCTGTGTCTTAAAGAATTCAAAAATACGAAACTATTAATTATATATGAAATATGAGCAAACTGGCACAAAAAATCGATTTGTGTTCGCTGCATGCACACTTTATATCAATTATCTATAGTTTGACCATTAATCAACAAACAAGCAACAAAAGGCTGGGTCCAAATCACTGGCAAGCACACTAGACATTTCAAATGCCTAATAATGTATTCAAATTCCAAGTAAACAGTGTTCTATCTTATTTGCATCGACTTTACATTAATTAGTTGCTGGTTGTTTAACAAAAAAATAACATGCGCCCCTACAAAAGAAATCAACATGACTTTGTAACGAATTTAAACATAGGCCTATACATAGTATACATATGTGTATAGTAAATAGAAACCAAACTTTAAGCTTCAATGTACATATGCTGTGTGATCCCATATAGATAAATGTGTACAACTATTTAAAAAAAAACAAGAAAGGAATGCTAAAGTCGAGCAGGCTCAACTCTTAAATACCCTGTACCACCCCACAAAAAAGTAATTAAATTAATTAATTAATTTAATTAAATTAATTAACTAAATTAATTTAATTAATTAACTAAATATTAACTAATGCATACATACTTTTACAATTACATCAGAATCGTGTATATGCGTGTTTGTGTACTTGTACATATGTATGTATGTGTACATTGAGCCTGGTTATATGGCTATAACTTTCTTTCCGATCATTCTATCATAATGAGACTTGGTATACGGTTATATAATTACTAACCTAATGTGACTACTAAATTTTAGTTCAAAATTCCAAGAATTACGGGAGTTATAGAAAATCGTTAATAGGGGGGGAGTGGGGGGGTGGATCAGAAAAAATGAACAAACTCGTCCTTTCTCGGTCTCAGGAGAATCTGTATACCAAGTTTGGTTATTCTAGCTCTTATACTTTCGGAGATCCTTGCGTTCATACAGACAGACAGACGGACAGACGGACAGACAGACGGACAGACAGACGGACAGACGGACAGACGGACAGACGGACATGGCTATATCGACTCGGCTTGTCATGCTGATCAAGAATATATATACTTTGTGGGGTCTACCAAGCCTCCTTCTGTGTGTTCCATGTGCACTCGCACTAAACTAATATACCCTTGTACCCTTTGGGTACAGGGTATAAAAAATATATATATATATATATATATATAAATAGCAACAATATCAAAACATACGAGTACATGAACCGTTAGAGAGCAAAAATAAAATAGCAATAATTGTGTAATCAAATCAAATGTTGTACGAGCTTAAAAGATTTAAACAAGGCTATTCAATTCGCACCATAAAAGCATAAATAGAACCGGCTTACTGTACAATTCAAAAATATTTCATGTGCATTTATACATATATATGTATGCAGTTACAGAAAACTTTTAACTGTGTATGTACAAGTATCTAATTTCATGTCAACCTCAATAAATGTGCCCATTTTCCCATTGCACATCACACATACACACATACCAGTACTCATCCTCGTGTTCGTACTTTTTATTTTGCACAACTTCATGGCAATTTCAGCGAAAGTCCAACTTTTGCCGTAGACAATGTTAGTAATTAAATTCAACCTAGTGAGTAGTGAGTTCAGAAACTCAAAACTGTAGGATAAGTAGAATGGGGGGCGCTTATTAGAGTGTACATCAAACAACTTGAGGGATTTCAAAATATAACAAATAATTACAGTGGTAATTGTGAAAACAAAATCCAACTACGAGTGCATACATATAATATTTAATCAAAACGGTGAGGGTTGGTTATATTTTTGAAGAGTATTGGATGTTTTTTGTGCAATTAGCAATTAAACACCGTTCTTATGCTATAAAGAATACACATACACATATATACATACATGCATACACCCATACATGCTATAGTAAATAATTACGAACATAGTAGATATTAACATTTACATCTACATTAAGGTTTATCTTTACTTTTCCATTTACATTAAAACACGCATATTGTACCACTAGTAGTTGAGAGCCTAATACGCTTTAATATGCATAAATATGTATATGTGTATATTATATTTGTATGTGTGTGTGTTTATGCCATTTCTCGATGTGTACTTGATGTCAAAGTTATTAAAATGGTGTTGTATTAAACAAAACAAAAACAACAGCAACAAAAATAGCTGTAATGGTGTTTTATTCATGCGCGCTCATTCGCAAAGTTAAAATATTGCGTATACGCCACCATGGTTGGCAATTTGTCTACTTCTGCTTGCTCTCAACTCAAAATTGGCAAACTTTGCGTGCCCTGTCAACCACATGCACACAAGTAAAGGTTAATACAAACACATTTAAATGTCAGATTTCGGTGCATCTAGAGCTTAGCAGCTGTGCCAAACATTTCATGGTTTCACATTCAATGGGTTTATCAACACGTAGCCACACAAAAACCAACAACATCAAAAATCCACACAAATAGGAAAATCGATAGTTTTTGAACTACTACACATACTTGTATCTATGTTTATACAGTGCACATACATATAAAGTGGCGAGAATAAGATTCCAACTCACAAAATTGCTAATATCAATAGATGATTTCTTTTATAAACATTTTGGCCTGTTCCCATTAACATTAATTTGCTTTAAAGCACCTATAAGATAGAAAAAACGTAACGTTATCACGTAAAGATATTTATCTGCTTGATCCGAAGAACATTAACCAAAAATCTTAAGTTGGTCAAGAGATATATGAGATATTAAGATATTGTATACATTTGTCAAATCAATATCAGGTTTGATCAAAGTCTTTGCTCGCGAATGCAGATAATTTGCTACATTTTGAAGGGCATTGAAGCTCCGATGATTTAAAACTATAATCAAGCATTTTGTTCACTGTGGTCGTTGCAATTCTCCTTGTAAGTCTGTCCTTCCCTCAGTTTCATCAACAAACTGTGAAAATGTCAATTACCAGACTAAAACACAAACCACAAGCTGACTAGCAAGCAGGCTGACTGGGTGACTTACAGACCAGTTGCTGTGTGATTGGCAACGAATGTGATAAGCTCAAGAAGTATAAAAATATTTGCTAAAAGTTTTAATATCCTGCACTTTTTGTTTTGTTTAAACAAGAGTTCTGTGCATACCCTCCTCTTCGTGTGCTTAGCCTATTGCTCTTAAGGGCTGTTTCGTTACGCCATCACCCCAGGCACTTTTAAGAATACAAAAATCCAAAGCACATGCCTCAAATGTGCCACATCATTTATAAGGAAGAAGGAGGCAAGTATGTTGCAGGCTCATGTGCAGATATGAGTTTTGTGACTATGCGTGTGTGCTTTATTAGCTCTCAGTATTTTTGGCCCGATTATTAATTTCCTTTCTGTGGGCCCAGCGTATAATGATAATAAAATAATAATAACAGCTAGAGGATAATGCAAATAAATTCAATTTTATTAAACAGTTTTAAGACAAATTCAAGGACTTTAACAATAGTCTCTCATATTCATGTTTAGTATCGGTGAGTGCCACTCACAATGTTAGCTCTTATGCGTATTGGATGATAAGTAGTCGTATCTTGATAGCTTTTGAGCTTTACCCAGGCCTAGACAAACAACATGAACCCATGGGAAACTTCTGAAGTAATAAAAATGTGCTTATAAGTGGTGGAAAAAAGCAATAAAGGAATGTTAACAAATTTTTTTTAATAATTTTTGAAAACCTTCAGCCTATCTAATAAATTGAGTCAATGCCAATAATGAAGTCACTTTTCTGGTATTAATTCAAATGCTGGTGTAGCTTACCACGGTTCAAGTACAGTTATGAGGCTCTATTCCCAATTGAATTTCGAGCTTAATGTATGGAATGCCAGCTCGATGGCTAGCTAGAACCCATACCCCCTACCCTTTTTATCTTGCACTTAGTGTCGCTTAGCCCCAGGAGAACGACGGGTTAGCCTGAGCAGTAGAAACAGTAACGTATGGCTCCAGCCAATCATGTGCACAATGCACGAAACGGAAAAGCAAAGAGCAAACAATCAATGCAATAGCATTCACATCAATCTTGATGACTGACACCGAAGAAAATGGCTGGCAAAGTACACTTTTGTGACGACGTTGGCAAGCATACAAGTATTCTGCCGACTATCGATAACGATGCCAAGTGCCGTTGTCTGTCCGGCACAAATGAAGCCAAATATCATGAGCAGGTGCCCCCAAAACTATGAAACATTTTGGTCAAAAGCAAATGGGGAGAGGCAGCACCACTTGCCACCAACGGTGGCGCTCAAGCGCAGCCATCAGAAACACCCAGACTGGCTATATTTTTTTAGATCGCAGCAGTCCAAGGCTTATTATGAATCTGTTGCCCAAAGAAAAACTAGACAAATTTACGGCTTCATAAATAATATTTATGTATATTGCATTATGGCGCGTAGTGCGGCAAACTTATCGCGAAGTTGTTGACACCGAACAGTTGCCGCCCCAGCAGCCCCAGCCGCCCCAGCCACGTTCACCACGCCCCTTTGCTGGCATTTGACGTGAAGCATTGAAAGGACATGTATACAAAGGATGTCACAACTTAAACTCGAAGTCTCTGCAAATTGTGGCCGAGTGCACTTTCCGTTGCCTCAATTATGGCGGATCTTTGAAAGCAACTGTCAACTCGAAGTTGTGGCAAGTGACAGCCACTGAATAGAATGTGCGGCACGAGCCAAAAAAGTCGAAACTGCAAGTGCAGTAGCAGCGTTCAGTTGAGACAAATTTGCGCTAATTAGCAAAGCATTGGCGTCGCTTTAAAGTTGTCAACTGGCTGACAAATGCGGGTCTTTAATTTAAAGTCGCAAGCATGGCACATTAACATATCTGTAACATAACTTGTAACAATTTGTAGCATGTAACTGCTAAAAGTACAAAGAGAACACGTACGTAATGAAGAGCTGCACGTACGACTAGAGCAATGACAACGCTTAGGCTTAAAGTTTCAACAGGAGGATGGAATGGGAAGGAATGGAAGGGAATGGAGGGTATGAAAGAGCAGCCAAGTAACATTATATGTATATCAGACGAAAAAAAACTTGCTAAGCTAAAAGTTGCTGCAAAAGTTTGTAACTGTCTTTTAGCCGGAGCGCTTGAAGGGCGTTGAGGCATTGGGGCGTGCCGGATGTGCAGACAGCATGACTTTGAACGCAACGGAAGCTGGATGCCGACTACTGTTGCATTTTGGCAAACTCTTCTTGTAGTTGCTGTGCTACAAGTGCCCTTCTGCTTAATTTTTATGCACGTTCTCCTGTGGCAGCGTGCGAGAGTGCTACATGCAGTAACAGCTCTTGTTGGTCCCACAAACACATACACGTATACA